ATGTCATGTGCGAGTAATCAGAGGAAGAAAAGTAATTGCTAAACAGAATGTACATCACAGCATAAATACAGATTCACTAGCATGCAACACAAACTTCTATATTTATTAGCATTATAATAAGACTGCTGTTTTAGATTTATAGCGACTTAACTCTTAATTTGTTCAATTCAACATCATGCCAGGCCAACAAAAATAGCAAAAGTATTTTTCCAGTTCAGGTTCACTCACAAAATAACAGCATGTGATCTGGAAATGGGAATCTCCCTGGCACTGAATATCTCTCCCGCAGGCACGACTGTACCTGAGAATAACAGACAAATATTGTGATATTTATTAAGAAAAAACACTGAACTGTGTTTCTGACGTCATGGCAAAATGAAAGAATACCTGGAAACACTCCAAAAAAACAAGAAACTGACCTCAGAGTGAACATTTTTGTTCGAGCCTTTACGTTCTGTCAACCTTGTTGTTGATTTTCTATGAAGCATGAACAAAAACTATCTCCCCAAATATCCCATTTCCTAATAAACTACAGTTTTCCCCTTGTCATGTGAAATTTCACCAGTTCCTTCCAGTGGCGATGAGTTACGTTACCAGGATTATATTTAAAAAGTGCAAATTGACATGAATGAGCTTGTTCTCCAACACTGATACATTAGTAATAAGATGTAACTATATCTGCTCTCAGGTGTTGAAAAGCAGCCAAAGTTTTCAAGGCTTGTTTCAAGTTTTCTTCTGTCTGCCAGCTTTGTAATGGAGGTATGACTCTGCGAAATGCGGTGTTATCTTTTTCCCATTTAAATGCTAATGAGCATGCTGCCATACTAGTCAAAGTACGGCAGAAACAGTGTGAATTTCTAATCTCTTATCACACCAAAAGGTGACAGATCTCCTGGTGAGGCAGCAGGATGTGTACAAGTTCCCTCATTAAATTTTACACAAACAATATGTCCCTTAGGGAGAACCGAGGGCCCATCTATGTCATGGCTTCCTCGGGCTGTGTGTGTGTGTGTGTGTGTGTGTGTGTGGTCAGCTGTGTAAGGATGTGTGTGCATTCATATCTGTCTGTGTCCTTTAGATGTGTGCGTACATGCAGATGTGTGCAGCAATGCGGCAGGTGCACTTGTTCCTTCACCTCATCAGTAATGAACAGCTGTTAATTGCCTTCCATCATGTGGTGAAGCCAGCAGACACAGGTTAAGGTTGTCACAACCTGTTAATAATTACTTTCCATAGCTGGTGGAGTGGCTGATGGCAGAAGGCTCAAGGAAATGCGCTGAGTGTAATGAAACGCATATGAGAGACTGACCTTTGCTCTTGTGCTGCCTGGATTTGTATTCCCCACTGGCACCTGTTTCCATGAAAACCACCACTATCTTCCTAGTAAATGTTAATATAGTTACCCGTGAATTATTTCAGTTATACTGTTCCAGTGAATACATAAATGTAAAATAGTTCTTATGAACAATTCTCTCAGAGAGTGATAACAGTAATCAACTCAGTGGTGTGGTCTTCATGTCCTCCAGGAAAATCAACAATACATACAGTATGTTGGAATTGATTCGAACCTCACGCTGTGACAACAGATACATTTAGTTTGGGTGATCAAGGAGAAACATTTGAAGCGTAGTGATGCAATATATGTAACAAAACTCACATAACTCAGATGTATGTTCTGCATCTCCTCTGCAGAACAAAAGGCCTTAAAGTGGGGGTTTCTAAAAGTCGTTCGCGAGCTACCAGTAGTTCACTTCCCACTTCTGAGTAGCTCACCTACAGCTTCACAGAATATACAGTATGTAGCCTTCAATGCGTGAATGATAACAAAAACTTCGCTGAGTAGACCTCAAACTGCAAGCCAATCAAATCCCCAGATGCCTCTTTCCTCCTGGCATCAAATTATTATTTGCCAATCACCCATAAATCAAATGAATTACCCTGGTGTCAAATTTGTTTACATCAGTTACGCCATAAGGTAATGTTAGTAACTCTTTTTGGATAATGTTGCTTTAAGCATTGTAAGTCCTCACTTAGTAAATGATAAACATTTACTGTACAAGAAACACCTACAGTACACACAATTTATAAAGTAAGGTTTGGATATGTGACGCAAAACCATTAGCCTATTCAGCTGTTTTTGTTTGGAGATATGTTTTAAAGTTTTGATACAACTTGTGATTAAATGTAGCTAGTAGGCTAATATAAAACATGAGTAGCTCTCAGCCATTTTCATTTTGTCAAAGTCAGCTTTTCGCTGCAGTCCTCTAAATGCGTTGCCTCTGTGGTTTGGCACCTTTGGCTTCAACATTATCTTTCACATTTTACTCCTCAGATAGCTGTTAGACAAAGAAATGCTAGAGAAAAAAGTGGAAAGCTTGGGGGACTTTTATGAAGACGGGTGCTCCTCAAAGCCAGGACTCAATAATTGCTTTCCTGTTGTCTCACGCAAGTGACAGATGGTGAGGCCACCAGAGGCCTTAAGATGGAAATAATATTGTTGATTAAAAAGAAATATAAGAAACAACATGCAGCTGTTGGCTACAACACAGAGGAGGGAAGACAAAAAAAACAAAAGAAAGAAAGACAGGACTAAAAATAGGAACAGCTAGCGATGGGAAATAAAAAGAGATTCAGTAATGCCACAGTTACACTTGGTTGGTCCACACACACTTAGATTTACTGATATGTAAAGTTTGGGGAAAGAGATTTTCTTGTTTCATTTAGTCATGGTGAGTCCTACAGGGCTGGGAGTTGTGTTCCAGATGTCTATGAAAGTAGTTATTTATTTGGATCGTACAGTCGGGTATATAGAACAGTCTTTAAGACATGAACACCCACCAGCATATGTTAGGCTGTTTGCCCCTTCATATGCGTGAGAAAGAGACCTTGGTGGTTTTTTTAAGCCTGCAGAAGATTTAGATGGACTGAGACATATCAATATCTTCTGCCTTGTTTGCACGAGCTTATAAGTGTAGGGGTAATTATGTCCCAGAGCTCTTTGCTGGTATCAAGGGAAATTTAATTCTTTTAATGGCAAATGCTGATGCTGAGCTCTCCTCCTTTCACTGCCTGGAGTCATGTTGTGAAGCCTGTTTTGCATAGACTAATGTAATAAAGTATTTCAAAGAATAGAAAACTTATTCACAGCCAGACATCCAGTGTCTTTATGTTCACTGTGGAGCAACTGCTGTCGAGGGGCCTCACATGTTGTTTTATAATAAATCTGACTTAAACCCCTTTTCCACCGCCTGGTACCGGCTCAACTTGACTTTCCTTTTTTGTGTTTCCATCAGTCAAATGTCGGTACCTGGTACCTGGTACTAATTTTGGTATCATCAGGCGAGCTGAAGTGATGCCAAAAGGTAAACACTGCAGTGATGGAAAAGGAGCTTTAGTGCCCTCAATACAAAGGCCTATAAAAGACACACAGTATTGTTACATTGTTTTTTGACAAATGAACTAACAGTGAAGCATATTGTGAGTTATGTGTCAGCTAATAGTATCTTTCCAGTGACACAGAAGAAACAGTAGCTCAATTCTACACACAGAATTAATTGAAAAAATATCTTTGCATCCTCAAAATTCCTCCCTGTTTTTATACATTTCTACAACTGTAATGTTCATAAGACTGCATGAAATATAAGCTTCAATATTCATCATTTATAGAATAATAAGCATGCACACTGGACGTCAGCTGCTTTGTGAGTTGACTGGATAAGAAGCACAATAAGCCAGTGCGATCAGGGCAGGGATCAAGTGAGATTAAAAGCTTTGAGGCTCCATTTGCCCATGAATATCTGATTCCTATCTGAGGTGAGAGGCAGTGATCCTCTGTCAGGTTGTTGAGGTGTCAGAGCAAATCTGCCTTATCTGCATCTGGTAGGAGTTACTGATGTGAATTTGTGACCAAAAATCTTTCTTCTGATCTGAAATCATTATCAGCGTTTCCCCCTTCCTCTCTGCCTGAGTCACAATATAGTGAGGGATTCATACTTCATTCAGAAAGCAAACATTGCTCCATATGTGACCAGCAGATACTGAACAATTGCTTGGCTCACACCAGGGTTTTGAAAGTTTCTTAGCACAACTTGATATTGTAAAAATCGGTAACTGGTGGTCACAGACTAATCAAGGTGTGAAATTACTGTGGTCCTATTTGTTTTTATCTGAAACATCTAGGAGGAAAGGCTTACTCTGGACACCTAAATCAGTAGTTTGAATGAATAGGCCTTTACAAACATCAGCCATAGATCTGAAACATCTCACCGGTGGCATGGTTGTGAATTTGTATCGCTGTCCTTGGACAAAATAAATTCTATATCAAATAACATGTGTTGCCATATGTCCTGTTACAGTGAGTACGTGTATTCTGCAATGAGCTTATTGTGGTGATATTTGAAATGGAAATGCTACTTGTACATTGTTTGATAGCCCCTGGAGAAGAATGCAACTTGTCTGCATGCCTCTGCTTGTTTTATCTTAACCTTCATTTACATGACAAAGATAAATGCAAATGGAAATAAGGTGCAAATTGCAAAATTCTAACCTATAAAGGTGGTAGGTCACAGCCTTTAATCGTATTTATCTCTGAACAACACATCACACTGATACTCTAAGTGCAGAAGAAGCCTAAGTGTTTCCACACCTTATAGTAAAGAAGAAAGAAAGAAAACTGAGCAAATTCAGCTTCTGAAGACATGGGAGATATGATGTGATAATTAACTGAGGATGCATATTGAATGCAAACAAACACTTTTCATGTTTAAAATAAAGGCTATTTTTGTTCTGATTGTAGCAGAACCTTTTGGACAGCTGAAGAAACCTCTCCTCAGCTCATGTAGGCGAGCGTGACGTGTAAGGATTGTTCTCCACCGCTGTCTGGGACTTTACATTAGTACCTCCCTGAAGTGAGAGGATGCAGAGCAGACTTCTTACATGTTAGATTTTGGGGCGGGACGGATCTCTGGCATGCTAAGGTAGGGTCCCTCCCCCATGGGTGTGTCCACTGTCGGGAGACCTCCGTCTATCCACCTGCAGAAGGCGCTTACCCGCACTACACGCTTGAGCGTCGCTGCGCACGAGTGAATCTCCCCTCCGCCACTAATCTCCAGGAGAACTCTTTGTTTCTAACCTCCCTCCGGGGAAATACAGAATCGGTTAATGCGATTTAGAGATCACCTGACGTTGAAGCGGCTGCCGCAAGTTAATGTAAATCCAAGCTTTGTTTGGCTCTGGGATAACCGTGCAGATATCTGCGGCGGATAGACGGACACTAGTGCACTAGTGCGTGCGGATAGGGGTGCTGAAATGATCTGGGTGGATGGTTTTAAATGTTGACCAGTTTTTCCACAATACTCACCGGACTTTAACCAGAAGGTAAGACATGATGCAAGTGCTGTTGTAATACAGGTCCAAGCCAAATTCATTATTTGTACTGAGATGTTACTAGTAAGACATTTGATGGAGTGGACCAAAAGGAGTACTCCCTGCATGTTTACAAAATATATTGTTAAAGTTAAGTGAAAAGATTTTGTCCTGAATGTTTGGAGTAGATTATTCTAAACAACAGTCTTCAGTTCGGTTGTATGCTGTGACGCGTGGGAGGTGTAAATGAATTGTACTCTCAAATAGCCTCCTAATTTCAGATACTCCAAGAGGATATGTATGTATGTTTGGTGAGCAACCTGAGTGAGGCAATGAAAGTTTTTACTGCATGTGATGCCGTTTCTTCAAAAGCTGCCATTTAGTATTACCTTTGACAGTTTAAAATATCAGATACTCTTATAAAGGACACGTGGTTCATGTTCATAACTCAAGTGCAGTCACGCTTTATTTTGGTAGTTCTGCCTGCAGGGCTCCATCTGGAACGTGATCCTGAACCCTGACTGATAGTTTAATCTCAGATCTATGTTTACTAGTTGATCAGTGTCTTGCATGGATAATTACAGTTGTGCTGTTTCCAAACATTTTTCTTCCAGGAGTTGTTTTTTTGTGTGTGTGTGCGTGTGTGTGTGCTGCTATTCTGAACTGTTGTGTCACTGCGTCCGCACGCCGATGGCTTGAAGAGTCTCCAGACCTTTTATGGGGATATTAATAGGCCTATTGTACCTTCAGCTACTGTATCTTTGTGGCGAACATGTTGGTGCGCTTTGTGGTTTAAATGTGTGAGCACTGTCAGTGCGCGCCAGCCTTAACTTTCCGTCTAATCTACTGGTAAAATGAAACGCTTTCTGCAAAATAATACTGTGTCTGCTCCGAAGAGGTTTTCTGCTTTCACAGACACGTTTTGCTTCAGTACTGTGTAAAGTTGTGATGGGCACTGGGGAGGTGCAGGCGGCAGCGGTGGCTCCTTTTGCCTCTCCGAGCTGGAAAGAGGCTTTCAAGCATGTCCGTGCACTACAGACATAAAAGGCTGCATAAAAACAGATCCAGTTTTTAGCTTTGTATCTCAGTCATTGCTTGATTTTCTGTATTGCCAGTGTAGGCTATTTACAGTATGGCCTCAGTATTATAAGACTGCACTATAGAGAAGCAAATCTCACAGCTGACTGAGTTGGTTGCTGCAGCTGCCTTGTAAAACGAAAGAGCATGCTAATTGCCTGACACTTATCCGTGTCTGTCCCTCAGCTCCTGGATTCTCCATCTCCCCTGTTAACAAACAGAGGGACCATGTTGTGGGACAAACTTTGCTGGCTGCTGGCCCTGCTGGCCTCATCATCCGGGGGGTTTCCCCCTTCCAGTGAGCCCCTCTCTGCTCCAAGGATCTTTCTGTCCTTCAAAGGTAAGATACTTGAAACACAGCTGTGCCTGTGAACCATTTTCTCTGGATTTGTGGCACTATAAACAATTAGACAGGGAAATCAAAGACTGGTCACAAAGATTTCTTAATCTTGTTTGTTAACTAGAATGGATAAACTGTTGACTCCAGCTGAATTCAGGGTTTGACAAGCCTGGCATTTGTTCCTTCAGTGCCTAACAGGGAATATGATTGCATGTCAGTATGAGACAGGTGTGATGAGAGGGATGAGGAGTTGTGCTGCTGATTGTCATGACTATTCAGGGCAAGAGACTGTCTTCATTTAATCGCATGCCTGCTACTAGTTCCCCAAACAGGCCTTTGTGTGACCTCGTCTCCCTTCTGAAATATAGTCAGATTTAACAGTTGGCTGGGCACACGCTCAGAGCACAGATCCAGCATGTTATGAATGTTTGCCAGTGCCACATGAGACCCTGTGTGTGTTGAACAGTCCTGTTAAAATAGGTCTTAGTTGCGTGGTCTCAAGTGTTCTGCCATTCCAACACCAGCAAAGTCGCCATGTCGATGTGCAGTTCTCGAGATTTATAGTATCAGCCTCTTAAAATTATTTTGACAAGCCTCTGATGAAGTCATATCCCTTTCTTTTTAGGACATCACCATACTTTAGATCTCAGGTGTGCGCTGTATGTTGAAAGTTTGCTCGTGTGTGACCTTTTAGGAACACTGAATGGGAACTACTGCAAATCAAATCACTGATATCAACATATGAATAATGAATACTGCTGTGGTAGCTGCTTTTTTTACGTCTATGATCTGTCCAGTAATCCTACTGCGTTTTTGTAAAAGAAAGTCTTTTATGGAATAGCAGAAATGACTTCCCTTGTGACTTCAGGCAATGTTTGATAAGATGATGAAAAAAGACATTTAAAGAAACAACGCATAACCTTTTTACATAAAAATAAAAGCTTCAAAATCATTTTGATGGCAGATTGACGTCTAATGAGGTGAATGGTAGCTCTCCTATTTTCACTGTGTGCCCGGATCATCTGTTACTGCACTATGTAACTTTGTCCCTGACACCTCACGGGGTAGCTACGTTTTCCTTTACGGCACCAGACATGTCTCCTAACAAGCAGAGACAAAACCCTTTAGTGTGTTTTGATTTTTTTGATTTTTTTTTTTAAAGGCGAAAACCTAACTGCTTAGATTGTGAATATGTAGTCAGCCTATCCAAGTATTGCCAATTTGGAAATACCAAGCCAGCTCTGTTAGCAGGCAGCTACATCTCATTCAGAGCACAGCAGTCTGTTGGCGAGGATGCTGCTGTTCCAGTTGCACGTTAAAAGCACTGTGTCCTCCCGTCCTCAGGAGTTTGCACTAAACTTGCTACAAACACCTACTGTGATTGTGAACAAGCTGTGCAACAGGACATGGACTAAAGCACACATGGCAGTATGTAGTACGTCCCGTAGACCTACAGTAGGCTGTAATCCTGTCCATGTCAACCTGATTTGTCTTTTTTATTATTATTTGTTATTCTTTTTCTTATGCGTGTTCATCTTCAATGGCACAATAAATAAATAATAAATTCTGTAATATTGCTTTACCGTTTTTTCATTGTCTTTTACGATTTAATATGAGCGTCGCCTTATAAACAATGTACTGCTATCTATGAGGAGGAGGGTGAAAGTGCAACTGGTATTTACGACAGTTGGGTACAGCTCTGTTACACACAGCAACTGTAAGGGGGAGACAAACTGCCAAGTTATGTATTATTGCTTTAAATCATCAGCGAAGATTTGCCCTTTCTCAGTTTTGCCTCCTTCTTAGACATTTTTGCTTACCTGTTTGTTTTCTCTCTCTCCTTTCATTCGCCACTCATATTCCCTCTGTCTCTAATCGAGTTGGGTTTCACACTTGATTGGTCTCACATTTACTTGGTAGAAAAGAGTTCATTTGTTTTCTTTTTCTTTTAATTGAGTTCCTTTGTTTTAATTAGTTTGGGGGGTTACTTTATGCCTCACAGAGCAACTTCAGATAGACGCAAACTAGCAGTGTCCCTACATTCTGTAATTGCATTGGTTTTGTACCATACTCCAGGGAATAGCTCTGTAAGGTGCTTGTATTAATTTTATACATTGATTGACCTAAAGTGCCAGTGCCAGATTAAGTGCCAGTGTACGTAACCAAATAATTGGCTGTAGTTTTCATTATATCTGTCTAGTGCTGCTAATTTGATCCACTTGTAGTAAAAAAAAGTACCTCCTGATAAAATAATCCAGCTAATTCTTAATGGCCATTTCAGTTTTGATAATTAATAAACATGGAAACCAGCCAAATATGTAAGCTGCTAAATTTAACAGTTAATAGAACTGGTAGGGCTTTTTTTTTTTTTTTTTTACTGCATGTGCCTCTGTATAGAGAGTTGAAAAAATGCATGCAGGCTCATTCTTACAAAACACCAGGCTGTAATGCATCTTTCAAAGGTGTTACAGAAACAAAAGGTCACATTTCTAATGTAGGTGTATTCTTGTTCATAAAGACTGAAGGAGGCTGGTTTAGGTCAGCTGCTGAGAACTCCTGTCTTTACTTTTAAACGCAGTCTATAATCACATGCTATTTTAGTGTGCACGGCTCTGTGAGGTTGTGACCCTGCAAACAGCAGCCAGTCACACCCAAGATTAACTGCCCTCAAACTGTGGGAGAATGGCACCATATTAACAGGTAATAGCTTGTTAGGCTAATCCTCAGGCACATTTGAAAGTGTTTAACTTTGTTTTTCTTCAGCTTCTTTAGTCCTCGGTGGAAACACCTGGGTATGAGATTGGCTTTGAAGAATGCTTGGAGATAAGTTGCATAGGCAGACCTCTAATTGGACTAATTCTCAGGGACATTGGGAAGGTTACTGAGCCTTTGGTTTCTCCTGGCAGTCTTCTTCTCTCAGATAGTGGGTGAATGATTGCTACACCGAGCAAAGACTTCACCATCGGTTCATATCTCTTGACTTTTCAGGGTTAAGATCAGAAATGGTGTCCTCCACCTGTGTTCTATGAAAAATTAGGAGCTATACCGAGTTTGAACTTTACAGCTTGTTCTACTTCAGACTCTACAATAATAGACCTCATCTTCTACATGTCATGTTTTATAAGCAGGTATATATAGTTTATATAGCACTTTGTCTTCTTCAGCTTGTACCAGTGTGAGATCACTCTATGTAGGTGGTCCTGCACTGTGTCCTTGTGGCTTCTCAGGTGAAAGAGAAACTATTGTAGTCATACTCATCCTGCCATGAGATATTATACCTAGTCCCAGGCTGTTAGAAAGATACTGAAGCAAGGTATAGCTCTTTGTAATTCACCCGGCCTGCTCATTTCTCATACAGTATGTGACACTGGAGACAGCACTAAGTGCCTCAGCCATGCCTTGCTGCAATCAAGTCTTAGTAATCAATGAGCTGCTGAAAGCTTATTCACAGCTAACCTGTCTGCTAGCAGATGAGCCCCAGCTACTGCTTAGGCTGGCCAGTGAAGTGCAGATAATCTGAGAGATGAGACACTTTTCTAATGGACAAAAGGGAAATGATAACTACTAATAAAACCAAATAAAACAAAACATACAAAGTCAGTGTGCCACACCAGTAATTATTTAATTACACAGCTGCTAACTGCTTTAGTTGTCTTGATTTCTGTCAGTCAAAAAAAGGTGAAACCAGTTCCATGAAACTGGGTAATTGGATGATCGCTGGGAAGATGATCCATTTGAAATTTAGTCATAAACGTCCAAGTCTCTTGGTGTTCCTTTAATTTGTCTGATGATTTTGGTATCAGCCCTTAATGACAGAAGTTCCTGAATCTTGTCGTGTCTCCAGTTAGACATTTTCCTTGGCATCTTCATTGTAAACGATTGTTCTTCTTCACCATCAGGATATTTTATTAGTCACACAGGGAAATTGTAAAGTTGCAGTTGCTCACAGTTATAAAATAAAATCAGATGTTTGTATTCTTACGGTTTCACGCTAATCACATGATAGAACGTCATAATGGGCTCACTCAGACTTTGTGGAATTTTTTTTTCCACCAAAGAGCTGGTAGGATAAAGTTCGGTTAATGTCTGAGTCAACATAGTCACGTTCTCGCATACAGCTTCTTCATGTAATATCTAGATAATTTCAGGGTGTCAGTGCATTTCTGAAAAGGGCTTAAGATTGTTGATCCACAGTGAGCAGTAACTCAGGTGAATGTTTTTTTTCCTCCAGAAAGTAGCGAAGCACTACTAGTCTTATAGCTTTTCCACAAAAACAAATAATCTTTTTGCTTACCTTGAAGTCCATCTTTGGTCCATCTGGTGGGTTACAGTATCTGCCAGCTGAGCATGTTTACTTCTTTTCCTGCAGATAAACATGATGGGTACATGAGGGTAACACGTTTGTCAAAGTCTTTTACCATCCTTGTCCTACATGCATCAAAATTCTGAGAAATAGCAAAGGGCAGAATACTTTCTATTGCTCATTTGTACATACAGTACTTGGATACAGTCTGCTCTCTTGGTATGCATCAACCATGTGACATTGTACCTGTTGGCAGCAGTCTATAGTCCCGAACTTCTGCCCTTCCTCATTATTTCCTATAGGAAAGTCTGGTCCCTGAAAAAATGTTTCCACAGCATCATGTGTAGTGGCTATGACACGCAAGCCCCTGCAATTATTACAATACCTACTACGTTCTCTCTAGAGATGCTGCTGGTTGAGGAGAGGAGGGAGTATTGCATCCCAGCAACCTCTGCTCTGCGGGATACATGTTGTCAAACTATGTCTGTACAGGAGAGAAAAATAGAAGGCGACAGCTCCGGTGCTCAATATAGTGTCCTTTTTGTTAGCTTCTTTCTCTTTTTATCTCCTTCTCCTTCTCTGCCTTTCTGTCCTCCTCCTTTGCTTTTACATTACACTCACACCCTCCTTATTTGCATGTTGGTAAGAGGCTGGCAGTGTTAGCTGAGGGAGGAGAGCGCCCAGTATGACGCCCACA